GCAGTGAGGTCTGTACTGGCGACCTCGGTCAAGATTCTCCCATATAGACCTCCCGCTAGGTTAATAAGAACTAAGTATAAGTTCCTACATTTATATTACAGCCTTAAGATAGCAGAATAATCTTAGTTCAATAATAAACTTATTCAAATACAGAGGAGTTGGACGATTTAATTCAAGAAAACCAAAACGACAAGGCAGCATTTAAATAACACTTTAGAGACGACTACGAGAGTATTATTTTTCGGGGAGGTAAAAATTTATCTTGTTTCTTAACCCATAACTACTAGATGTGATTAACTTGTAACTTCTCCATATAACATCTGAACATCACCCAGCAAACAGGTAATGAGAATACTCAAATTAATTAGGTAGAAGTTGTTATTTGATCTAACACCAAATTCTCGCAACTTGTTGGCAAGGAAATGTGTAGCAGCCAGAGGGGAGAATTAACAATCAGATCTTGGCCGGCTAAAGAGCGAAAATAATCCTATATCGCCTCTTAACTTTTCAACAGTCGTTAATTATAATAATTCATAAATTTCATCGTTATGCCTAATCAAACATACACTTATTTTGAAAGAACTCTCAGGGTACAGACGAAATGTAGATCTATAAACGGTTATATTTTTTTTTTTAGGTCCACACCCAGATATATGGTACAGGACGAATGCAGAAATTCCACTCCGAAGACTTCAAAAGCATTTATGAAGATGTGCTCATGGCACCTGGATTTACCCATGATCCTTTTGCTGGCGTCAAGGACAACGGTAACATCTTCTACGGTTGGCACCAGTACTACTCTGATACCGATTGCATCTGGATGGCTATCGAATACCATCCGGCATGATTCGGTTCATACTCGGCAAATATCGGGCCGGTTGTTATCAAGACACGTGAACAATGTTTGAATGCATGATTTTGTTTGAATGGCAATAAAATTCTTGAAAATCGTGTGAAAAGTTATTTGCTTTTAAAAAAATGGTTGAAGTAGAAGAATGTTTGCTGTGTAGGTATGTTTTTTTATTATTATTTCAAGCTGTTTTCGTTAGGAATGTCATTTTGAAGAAACACTTATCTGGGCGATGAACACCAAGAAGCCATTCAGCACTAAATATTAACCTCCTTGGGGAGGGACGAGCTTGATTGTGTCACGATGATAAAACCCTCCAGGCGCTGAACAGTGACTGGTCACTTAGAATGATGGGAAAATACATCTCCGCCTAGCGTGACGATGTACAAGATATTCACTTAAAATAAAAAGTTAAACAAATAATGGTGTTTCGTGTATTCTATGCAAAATTGCGGAGAAGGTGGTCAGGAATCAAGTCGTTGACTTTTGGTTTGAACAAAATCTTTTCAACCCAGATCAATTCTCGTACCTCAGTGGTAAATCCACTCTATTGCAGTTGTTAGCTTTTTACGATGACTGGGCTGAAGCTAGAAATTGTTCTAAACCTACTGACATTATCGTTCTAGACATGTCCAAAGCTTTTGATAGTATACCACATGAGCGTTTATTGCTTAAGCTGACTAGGCACGGCATAGATGGGCCTTTACTGCAGTGGTTTAAACATTTTTTGACAAACAGAATACAACGCGTTGTTATTAGAGGAAAGTGTTCGGATTGGACGTCGGTGAAGTCCGGGGTGCCGCAAGGAACAATTCTTGGCCCTATTTTATGTATCATCTACATAAATGACATCTCAACAGATTTGACATCTACTGTTAAGATTTATGCGGATGATACTAAAATCTACTGTACAATCAGTTCGCCAGATGTTGATATCCCTGCTCTGCAGAGTGACCTAGATCGATTGAGCATATGGGCAAATAAATGGCAGATGCAGCAGGTCTTGATGGGAAAATCTAGACCGCTTTCAATATTGATTTCAGCCAATCAAATTCGTGAATTCGGTAGTTCCCAGTCCTTGTGAGACAGCCATATGATAAAGGAAGTTATGAGTGACACAAACTCCTGTGACCAATTGATCAAAACTATGACAAATTTTTAGGAATTTACGAATTTACCGCTAGATGGGGTCACATTTTTTTACCACTGGTTTGCCTATAACGGTGGTCGCACTTTTTTGTGATTTTGGGGGTATGACAGTTCGGGTAAGTAGGGATCCAGCCTCGTTCGAGAATTTTTGTTTGAGTTTTTTTATGTCTCCATAAAGAAGGAAAGGTTTCCGCCAGCCCCATACTCGGATAAAGAAAACAATGGCGAAAACTATAGATGGCCTTTGGGACTACGGCTTTGATTTATAATAGTAAGATTCTATTCGGAAATCTTTCTAAACAAGGAAACAAAACAAAAATCGTAGCCAACTTGGCCGAACGTTTGGTGATGCATACATATCGTACATATCGCGTGACGCAAACTCCAAGTTATCTCGCATATTGCGATTTGATGAGCTCGTCTTTGCACACAAATGCCTAACACCTTTAGAACTACAAACCACGAAGAAATGCAGAGTATCTGACTTACATCTCACTGAATCGCAATATTAATAATTGTTTACATAGTTGCGTTCATTTTAGATTGCTTTCAAAGTGACCTGAGAAATATGGTGTACAAGACGAAAAACCGTTTGAAGTTTACCAAGTGCCTCAAGTCCAAGTGGCTCACTGATGTGAAAGATTATGAGTTGAAGAAAAGAACTATTGTGGTCAACATTTCCAACACGGATGCAATTATCTCGGGGCCGAAACCTCGCAAAGTTTTGCAGCCGAGAAAGTCCACGATTTTAGAAGGTAATATTACAGTTGTTTCCGATTTTGAGGCTTTACAAATTTTGACTGGTCACGCAGAAATATTCTTGTGACGCTTGAGTAATCTTTCAGTGGAAATTGGAAAGCTTTCACAGTCATAGACCCCATCAGCTTGTACGATTCGTTCTCCCAATAGAGGTCTCATGAGAATTCCACCACTTCCTCTCCTTTGAAAACTGCAGATACGTACAACTGTTGTATCCACCATTACATTGTTTTTTTATTATCAAATGACTGTATGCATAATCAAGTATGAGTAATATGGAAATATCGCCTTCGATTTAAGTGGGTTCTGTTGCTTTATAGTTGCGTCAGGTAACGAAGTTGAGAGCGAAGAATCAATCAAATGGTAATGACGTGCCACACGATTTCCGTATAAGGCCATCCTTTTTTTTTTTTCAGTCCGTTTAGTGTCGTTCGACCGAGCCAAATTTTTAGCATTTTTCAGAAAAAAAAAGTGACGACGTAGTTGAACCATTAAGTTAAATAATTCATTAAATCTGAAAAATGAGCAGCGCAATAGCATTGAGAAAAACAGGAACAAAATCAGGAATATTTTTTTGCAGTATGACATGCATTTTGTTAATCCAAATATGTAAATATTAACTTTTTAAAATGATTCTGGGGTACCAGGCCTCCTATTTAGAGACCTTGAGGTTTTTTTTTTTGGGGGGGGGGGGTTTATTTTCAGTCCGACTGACCTTCCCAACATCAGGAAACGCATTCGACGCTAAACGAAAATGAGAGGGGAAGGGTGGGGGATGGCTGGACTCCACACAATAATTGGATAAAAGGAAACAATGTCAAAAACAACAGGATGCAGTAGGGATACGGCTTTAATTTGTTTTGGAGCAGTGTGGGATCGTACAGAAATCTATCCAAACGCTATTTTCTTCGTCTCCGAAACTTATTAAAATAATCGACATTGTGGACTTACTGGGTGCAATTATAAATTCAGTTATCCAAAATAAAAGAAAAAAATTAGAGTCGGGACAGAGTAATCTGTCAAGTACCTCCAGACGTGACTTTTGGCCACATACACTTTCACCAAACACCGCTCTTCCATTCTCTCATACAGGAGTAAGCGTTATTAGTGCCGAGTCTCTCGTGCTCATCAAAATCTCGGACGAAATTAACATCGGTGGCTGTGTTCTGGAAGACGGCTGGTGTCAGCTGACATCACAGGACCCAACGTACCCTAGGGATGTCCCGTTGTACAAGTCCCCACAGTTTGACGTCGGGTTCGTCGAATTAGACCCTTACGTAGTAACTGGAAGCAAAAAGCCAAGCGTGTCTAATGGTGCTGTGAAGAAGTTCAACATTAAAGTGAATGTGTGGTTCTGCCCGGCTAAAACCAACTGTGGGATTCATAATAATCACACTAAACCGGAGATGTTAGAGGTATATTTTTGACCACAATATAATGTACTCCCCTACGCTCCTCTTAGTTGTTGGGTGTGGTACAGTTTGGGTGCGATGCAAGTTACACAAAATATGATAATACTCCGGAATCAAATAAAGGACGAGAAAAAGGGTGGCAAGGCAGAATAATTTGTATCATGTAATAGCCATTTTTTTTTAATGAAATAATGGTAGTACTGTTTAAAATACCTATGTCCCTTAATCTCTTAATTCCCAAGATCTCCTTAGACATTCTCATTACAGTCAGCCATACAAATTCTCATGACGTTAGTTTGGAGAATTTGGTATTAGATCAACCAATAATCCTCTCATTGATATTTATCTTTATTCTCATCACTTGTCTACTTGATATTGTAAGGAGAAATTCTGTCTTGGTCACTTGTGGGAGTGAAAGGGTTAACAGCTTTTCGAATTCATGAATGTTATAAACGACTTCCTAGCTCAAACGCATGCAGTGGATGATTAAATGATTATTTTGTCACAACAGGTCCACACCCAGATATACGGTACTGGAAGAATGCAAAAATTCCACTCCAAAGACTTCAAGAGCATTTATGAAGATGTGCTGATGGCACCTGGATTTACCCACGATCCTTTTGCTGGTGTCAAGGACAACGGTGACATCTTTTATGGCTGGCATCAGTACTACTCTGATACCGATTGTATCTGGATGGCTATTGAATACCATCCAGCATGACTCAGCTAATACTCTTTATTCTTCAGCAAAAAGCCGGCAGTCATTATCAAGACACGAGGATAAATCTTAGCGTTGTAGTTTATTTTTTTTAGTTGAGCTATAAGGATGTATGAAATGAGTGTTATCTGCAAAGTAGAAAAAAGCACTTATACAAAAAGCAAGTAATATCTCCATGAGCAAGTCCACCGCAAATAAATTATTTCATAGTGAATATTTAGTCCTTTTTTAATCCAAACCTATCTCCTATCACTTCGAAAGATTGGGTGAAATGTAATCTTTCCAAAGAAATGATATTTCATATATATAATATATACAGTAGGAAGAAAATGTGACAAACCTCCCCCCCTGACCCCCTTCGAATTATCTTGACTACCCTCTTCCCTATAGTTTATTCTGACCCACCCCAACCCCCTAGTTTATGGTAGCTACGCTTGTTCCGCCAGTTTCTGAAATACGTTTGCGTAGAACTCCAACAAGTCTTTCTAACCTGTGGAAATAAAAGAGTGCATAAGTCGCTATTCTCTGAATAAATTCCTGTCCAGTGGAAAGCGCTGGACGTTTGTTAACACTTATCAGCTGAATAGCAAGTTATCCATTGGATTTCGATATCTGCCCTTGAAGCAACTAGGCCAACAGAGTTGAATAACGTATGTGCACGCGCTAAGTTTTGGCACGGAAAACAGATTTTGAGTCGTTGGCATCGTTGATTTTCTAGTCTGTTGCTTCGAGGCGTTGTTTTCCTTGCTGCTTTTCTTTTGCACAACAACTTCCAAAAATTTCGTACATCCCCTAAATATTTTCGAAAATTAATTTTCTCCTTTAAAAAATTTAGAAATAGGGAAATGCCTTTCATGACAACCAAATGCCTCGGTTTTCAATGCCAGCTCATTATTATTTTCGCAAATTTCGCCAAACTTTAAACCTCATACGCTTGAGCCCGCATTGTTGACCGCATACCTTTGATGTTATTCAGCTCTGACACAGGGCCCTGATCAAAAAATGCTACATGTCAGCTGACTGTTGAAATCTAGTTTACTAACTTTGAAAGAGGTTCTCTGGGGAGATTTCGAGAACACCTGCCACCCTTAAAAAGACCCATTCAACATGTTAGCCCTTTCTGTTTCTTCGCCTGTGGGGAAATATAAGGCTTTAATGAACACGAGCTGGCAAGAGATCTTCAACGGGTCTGGTACCTCATTATTAGTGCCAGACCTCCAGCGATTAGCCCCACCTCCCGCCCCAGCTCAGCTCAAATATTCCAGTGGGCGGTGTAACACGTGTCCAGCAGCACAAACAATGAAGGCCTCTTCAAAGTCTATTGACGATCACACTATATGATTGACTATTAGACCTGCCTTCAAACCATTTACTGAAATACTTGTAACTTACTTATCAGCCCGTTCCTTTTCGCGTCGTCGATTTTTCGAAGCCTCCTCCAGCTGTTTTGCAAGAGTTGTTCTTTCTTGTGACACAGCTTTGAGTTTTTCGACTACTCCATCATAACTACACTGAGCCTGTTGAATATCTGCGTCTCTCGCTCTGAGGCGAGTTTCAAAACTGTCCATTGTCTGATTAAACTGATCTCGTAGGGATTGTTCTTGAGAGAGTGAGCGATGTAAACTGCAGGGGAGGGAAAGAAAGGAAAATTTAATGAGCAACACAGCAGAGGAAGGTAGTAAGATAATTTCACTTGCAGCCCCCCATTTACTTAAGTGAACATATGTAACCTTAGCGTTTTCTTTTTTACCAAAAAGAGAAGACAGGAACAGCGGGTTAAGAAGGACAGCAGGAGGTACAATGATTTTTGAGGGTGTGTCACATGCTCTTGTTACGAGGATCGAATTATTTTTACTGAATCTGTCACGCAATCCCAGACTTTTCTAGAATTATCTATAATCTGTAATATTCCAGAAACTTCTTTCATGTGACTCAGCAGTTTCCAAAAATAGTACAACTTGTAATACGCTATAAATAGTAATAGAACATTCTAGATAACTAAAGTAAATGTATAAAAGCTGGCTTGTGAGAAGTACAAAAGAGATTTGCCCGAGGTCTTACCCTCGTGGCTTGCTGACTGAACTTTTGGAAGCTATGATATGACAAGGCTATGACCTTTTGACCTTGCGATATCCGGAGAGAAGAAAGAGATGAAAAAGACGATAGTCGAGAGAGGAAGAAGATAGAGAATACAGAGTTTACTATGGAGTCCTCCGGAAGAGTTTGTGTACAAGGAAAGAATGCGATAAATCAAGAAAGCCAAGCGCTGTGGTCTTCAGTCGGCGGATGTTGGAATTGGAAGTTGATCAAGACGACGAACACTTACACGGCATGAAGGATTGTAAGCCTGCTTTATGAACTGCTTAACTTAATCTTTAACCTAAGTAAATTAGACAATGTAAAACTAATTAAATAATAGTTAAAATGGGTAACTGCTTGTTGTTACATTTTTGTTGCGTGCCATATATCGTACTCGGGAGTCTATTTTCATATATGCTTTGTTAGCGGACATTTGTTGGTCATTCGTGCACGTAACAATATGAAGTTCATATATTTTGAACTGCGGTATTAGATACGTATATAAACACGGGTTTATTACGAGTCAACTTAACGGCCTGCTCCCAGTTTGCTTGTTAGCTCAATTGGTAGAGCGCTGCACTAGTATCGCAGAGGTCAGTGGTTCGAATCCCGTACAGGCCTGATTTTTTTCAGGCCTGATTTTCGCTATTGCATAAATGGCGCTCTCTACTGCGAGGATCGTNGCAGACTGAAAGGCACCCATCCCACCCCAGGGTAGGACATCCATCACACAGTAATCTCGTCCGTGGGAAATTAACGTCATCTACCCCTAACCCTGTAGGAGACGGGATCTCCATTTATTTGTCCCTATCCGAGAAGACTAGAATATCTAACCATTTCTTGATGTTATAGAAAGGTAGCATATTCTTTTCAATTATTTTAAGACCTTGAGTGTTGGTCCAGCAGGGGCTCAAACCCTCGACCTCCCACACAACAGTCCAGCGCTCTATCCATTGAGCTAACCGGGAGGCGGTTAGCTCAATGGAGGGTCATGAAGCCAAGAGGAAGGGAGGGTAGAGAGGAAAGAGCCATTCAGCTTCTTAACACCAACTTTCAATATCTTACCTGAATAGCCTTGACCCTTTGTTTGTCCATCAACATGTGCTGATTTTTCATCAGTTCTATTTCTTTACGTAGGTTGACAACCTCTGCCTCAAGAGCTTTGGCCTTAAAGGAAAAAGAAAGAGAGAGAAAGAGAAACTTAAATCTGCAAGGAAAATTTATCCCTAACAATGAATGAATTTATGATACAATCAGTCAATACATTTGTGTCACAGTGTGAGATGATGTAACCCTTTGTATCCAAGCCAGATGCTTGGATAGAAAATGCACTTAAAGAAAAAATACAAAAAAATACAAAAAATCTCAAATTCCAAAAACTCAAACGAATTTATTCAAAGAAATATCAAGTTTCTACACTGCAAGTGTTCTGGCACTAATACTAATGATCAGTAATAATAATGAGCTAATAATAATAATAATAATGATAATAAGCTTACAAGGACACTAAAAACAAGGGTTTGCTTGCAGGCTAAGAAAAAAAAAATCAGTATTCACCTTTTCTACTGCTGTATCCCTTTCAGCTATAACAGCCTTGAGTTCTTCTGTCACCATTTTCTTTCTGTTCTTTTGTACTGTTCTTATCTTGGTTGCCATTAAATGACCATTTTTATCAATTAATTCAGGAGTTTCTGATGCTGTTAATCTGCCAAATAAGGACCTCATAGTCTGTTGGATTTAGTAATGGTGATAAGAGCTTAGAAACAAATAAAAATAACTCATACTCATGTAATTTTTTCAGTGTCTGGTTTTTGAAATGACTGTGTGAAGTTATGCACATGCTTAGAGAAAAGTTGTCCCAATGAAGCATAATCCAAAATATTGACAGTTTTCTACACAATGAATCCTTACATTCCTTTGCTAATTTGAAAATGTTTAAGCCAACATCTTCCCGCAATTTTGGGTGTGACTAAGTTCTTTGTCAAATTAATTCTATGCTAACTTGACCATCTCTTCGGTTGTCACATAGATGTCAAAATAGTCCATTTTGCATACTTTGTTGCCAAGCCAGTTGTGGGCTTGGTGGCCAAGCCTTTGGACAGGAGTGGGGCTAAGGGTGACCTTGTTATGATAGAAACGTTGCTTCTTTTCAAATGTGAATTAGTTAGTTATCATGCGAACTAGTACAGGTCTCTATTACAACAAGGTAACCTTCAGCCTTACTCTAAATCAAAGGCTTGAAAACCCTTTGCTTGATCTTGGGGCTGAAAGAGTGAAGGGCTTAATTCACAGAGAAACCTAATGTTTATCTTGAACCTAAAAGAAATTGGAGCATAAGCTTTCACAATTTCATACAAGAACCTTCCTTATGAAAAATATAAATACAGGGATGGAAATTTGAAGAGGTTTTTTTTTTCAAAGCTGTTACAACTGGTCTGATTATTTTTCAGAAAGGTAAAATATTATCATAAAAAGTAACAAATCTTTTCTATGAAATCTAATAACTACACATACTGGCTCAGTTTCTTCTTCATCGTATACGCTGTCTACACCAGAATCAAATCTATCAATCAAAAAATAAGGCAATAGTTCTGAAACTGTTTATTATCATATCCAGTAGTTAGCAATTATTGGATGATGTTGAGTATGATATCATGGATCATCAATGCCAAGGTCTGAGTTATCTGTTGAAGCTGATAACCCACATACGAGGTTTGACGATTCATGTGATCATACGAAAACCAAATTCAACAATTGTTTTCATACATTTGCAAAAGAAGACACTTGTCTCTGAGTTTGCAAAAGTTTGAGAGCACTACAAGGGCAAAGGGCTTGGAAACTAGGCAGACTTTGAAATCAACATGATATTGGGTGATCTGATTGTATTGATCGCCGCCTGGTTAGCTCAAGTGGTAGGATGCCAGACTGCTGTGTGGGAGGGTGAGGGCTCAAGCCCCTGGTCGGACCAACACTCGAGGTCTTAAAATAACTGAGGAGAATGTGCTGCCTTTGCTAAGATATCTGCGAACCGTTAAACATTCTAGTCTTCTTGGAAAAGGATCAAAAACCATAGGCCCCATCTCCTGCAACTTCTCTGTACTGGTTAGCAAGAGATGTTAAAGAACCCACACATTTATAACAAAGAGTGGGGAACGTAGCTCCTGGTGTTGTGTTCTGGCCTGTTTACTGAAATTGGGCATCTGTTAAAATGAGTCTTCACAAAAAATTGTGAACTGCTGCAAGCAGTCTGTTAAGTCCCCCGTAAAACACTGTAATGCACATTTGATCATACCCCAATGTTTATTTGTGCAATATAAATATTAAATTTATTTAGCATTATTATCTAATTTATTAAAATTGAGTGATTAATACAAAATTTTACCTTACAATCCCAATATGATATCAAGCAGATAAGAGATGACAATAATGAAAAATATCAATTAGGGAATTATTAGTTGATCTAATACAAATTCTCCAAACTAACATGGTAAGAATTGTATGGCAGACTGAAAGGAAAATTACTAATGAGACCTTGGGAGTAAAATGGTTAAACAGCAACTCAATTGATAGTGTAGTTGGCAACAGTTTTCTACATAGTATTATAACATAACCAAAGTAAAGCGCAAGCTCTGATTGGTCAATTTCGCATCCCCCATTTGCCCATGGGTGTACGCTGCTGACGTGAGCAAATGCAAAGACTATTTTTCTGCGTGCGCTTGTTTTTTCTGGTCGCGCAAGATTTGTTAAATAAAAGGGAACTCTTTAGCTACAAAGTATCAATGTTATGTTATAAAACAAATGGTAAACACCACAGTGTACACTATTGAGTTATGGATGCACTTGGGAGGTTTGCTAAGCACTCAAGAAGCTACAGTTACTCTCGGCTATTGCCTCGCGCAACTCTTACACTTCTTTCGTGCTTAACAAACTCCCGGGTGCATCCATAACTCAATAGTGTACACTGTAGTGTTTACCATCTGTCTTTCTCACAACCAGTCTGTCTCCCACTCAGTCTGTCTTTCTGACCATCTGTCAGCCTATCTGTCTGTTTGTCTACCCATATGATAACTACTGTGCTTGTCAGATTTTGTCTGTCTGTCTGACTGACTCCCTGCCTACCTCTCTGTTTTGACTATAGGTGTGTCTGTCAGACACCAACCTGTGACAGTCCAAGATGAACAGACACAGTCTCTGAAACATACAGGACTTTGGTATCACTGGAGAGAACAAACAGGAACCCATCCAAAGCCTAATCTCCTACCACACTCAAGGCACCTTCAAGTTCAAT